GGACGATTAGTTATAAACAGAGTTCCTCGGGCTGAAAAGTACAAAATTTTGTTGTGACAAATGGACACTTGTGTTATTAAAGTGCAATATATTTTATTTATTAAATATCTTAATATTACAAATATTTGTTATAATAGATCAATATCAGAATTTATTGTGAATAAACTAATACACATAATATACTCATATATAAAAATAAGGAGATGTGGTATTACTGCCAATGAGACCCGAGTCCAAATGATGTTGATGTGAACAATTATAGGTCACTGTATGGCCTTCAATAAAAGACATAGTTAGCTAAATTTGCTCTGAATAACCTTCTGGCATCATGCAACAATCACTTTTTAATTATGACGTTAAATATTTCTAATTGTGATGCAAAATTTGAGACAAGTTGTTTGAGATTTAGTGATGGTGGACAAATTTGCATACAAGTGTAAATACCTCTATTAGTAAAACCCATACCGTATTAAAATGATAAAAATATGCAAATGTTTGCGTTCAGTCTGAAATTTATCACACCCCTGCTCCAAGGGAGGGGTATACCTCTTTGCCTTATTCCGTCCATATATTCAGTCTGAGATTCACATCCCTGCTCCAAGGTAGGGGTATACTTCTTTATTTCATTCTATCCATATGTCCTACAACATTTTTTTCTACAAATCAGAGCGTCCTTAAAACTGGTTTCAAGCTTCATATGAGCAAGCTTTAACATCACTTCTAAAGCTCATTATGCCTATAGCTTAGGTATCATTAGTGAAAAAAAGATCACAGAACATCATGTTAAAAACTGAATCCGTTTTGCACAGTAGTGGTTTTTATACGACCGCAAAATTGGTATCACGTCGTCGTCGTCCGAAGACATTTGGTTTTCGGACAATAATTTTAGTATAAGTAAATAGAAATCTATGAAATTTTAACACAAGGTTTATAACCACAAAAGGAAGGTTGGAATTGATTTTAGGGTTTATGGTCCTAACAGTTTAGGAATTAGGAGCCAAAAAAGGGCCCAAATAAGCATTTTTCTAGTTTCCAGACAATAACTTGTGGAAAGGTGTATGAATCTCTCTGAATTTATACCACAAGTTTCCATACCACAAAGGGATGGTTAGGATTGACTTTGGGGGGTTATGGCTCAAACCATTTAGGAATTAGGGGCAAAAAAGGGTTCCATGTTAATGGACAATTTAAAAGCAGTGTAAGGGAGGTAATCCAAACACATTTTAAGTACAATGTTGTGTATGTTTGGATTACCTCCCTTACACTGCTTTTAAATTATGTATAAAAAAATTTTGTATTGTCTTGAGGTGATTAGCTGTCAATTTTTTCTTAGAAGTTACTTTTAAAGGTATATTAATTTTAGCAATGATTATGTATGTCATTTTCTATTTTAAGACTTTTATGATGTATTTAAATTGGTAATTATGGTTGGAAACTCCATTGGAAATTTGAAATGAGATTATGACCATATCTTGAGGGAAAGAATTTTTTTTTGGAAAAAAGGGGGGGAGGTGAAAAATGGAATCACAAATTTTAGAAGCATCATGGTCAAGTTATTTCTTGTATAATTTTAACCCCCAGTTTTTGGTGGGGTTCGTGTTGCTTAGTCTTTAGTTTTCTATGTTGTGTCATCTGTTCTATTATTTGTCTGTTTGTCTTTTTACTTTTGGCCATGACGTTGTCAGTTTGTTTTCGATCTATGAGTTTGACTGTCCCTCTGGTATCTTTCGTCCCTCTTTTTCAAGGTATGTGTATCAATAAATTACTCTATTTATAGTAATGTGATAACATCAGAAATTATTATGTTTTTGTATGATGCATGGCAAGTTGTATTGAGCTACTAAAATAATAGCTGATAATTAGGCTAAGAAGTTACAGACAATACTTAATTTATGGGTAAATTCATGAAAATCAAATAAAATGACTTAATTACAATTTTATGTAAACTTGTGATTTTTTTACTCACTTTGAAGAAGTCAAAAAGCGAGACATAGGTATGCTGTTTTCATGCCGGCGGCAGTGGCAGTGCCAAAATGTATTAGTTTGTGATTGGGTCAGTTTATGGGGAACCACTAGTGGTAGGTCAATTATATTTGGTAAGCCGTTGTATTAGAATTGGTATATTTCATTTCCATGGAGATTTTTTGGCCCAACCCCCTCAGTCATAGTCTACTGACTTTGAAACTTTTGCTTAGTTTACATGTATTAGTTTGTGATTAGGTCAGTTTATTGGGAACCACTAGTGGTAAGTCAATGATATTTGGTATGCAGTGGTATTATCATTGGCAAATCTCATTTCCATGGAGATTGTTTTGCCCCTCCCCCTCAGTCATAGTCTGTTGACTTCAAAACTTTTGCTTAGTTTACAAGTATTAGTTTGTGATTAGGTCAGTTTATGGGGAACCACTAGTGGTAGGTCAATGATATTTGGTATGCAGTTGTATTAGCATTGGCACATCTCATTCCATGGAGATTGTTTTGCCCTGTAACTTCAGTCATGGTTCATCGACTTTGAATATTTGCATAACTTACATGTTAAAGTATTGCTATTTTAATTTCAAAATTTGTATTATCAAAATTACAAAAAGGCGAGACATATCTCTGTGATAACAGTTTATTTTTTCAACTTTGCCACATAAGGGGAGATAACTCAGGTAAAGTAACTTTTATAATAGAATGTGTTATTAATTGACCTATTTTATTATGTAGCAAGAAAACGAGTCCGTTGACTCCATTTTTTCTTTTTCTTATCTGAAAGCGATCTCATATTTTATCATAAAATTCTATGGTGTGGTTTTCTTTTTATCACACAAAATTGGGTTTTCCATGCATAATCTATACAAAATCGGACAATTTTGCACAACCTGTAGCGTTAAAAAAAGTCCAGTGACCATAATTTTCATTATATTTTTATAAAAAGCATGATATAAACTACATTTTCACAAATTATTAAAAAAATTCTAGGGATTTTAATTTAGACCCCCATTACCTTAAGCAGCTATTTGCAGTGGTAAGAATAGGTAAGTAAATATTTAAGTGGCCAGTATTAACTCTATCTCATGAATTTTAATTGACCATTTTTATTTGGATACCCAATTTTTATACGACCGCAAAAATTAAAAATTTTTTGGTCGTATATTGGTATGACGTTGGCGTCGTCGTCGTCTGGCGTCGTCCGGCGTCGTCTGAAGACACATTGGTTTTCGCACTCTAACTTTAGTTTAAGTGAATGGATCTCTATGAAATTTTACCATAAGGTTCAATACCACAAAAGGAAGGTTGGGATTGATTTTGGGGGTTATGGTACCAACAGTAAAGGAAAAAGGGGCCAAAAATAAGCATTTTTGTAACTTCCAGACATAACTTGTGTGTTAGTGTATGGATCTCTCCGACATTGTACCACAAGGTTCCATACCACAAAGGGAATGCTAGGATTGATTTTGGGGGTAATTGCCTAAAATTTTTAGGAATTAGGGGCCAAAAAAAGGGGCTAAAAATAAGCATTTTTCTAGTTTCCAGACAATAACTTGTGTTCAAGTATATGGATCTCTCTGAAATTGTACTGCAAGGTACCATACCACAACGGGAAGGCTGGTATTGATTTTGGGGGTAATTGCCTCAAAATTTTAGGAATTAGGGGCCAAAAAGGGGCAAAAAACAAGCCTTTTTCTAGTTTCAGGACAATAACTTGTGTGTTAGTGTATGGATCTTTATGAAACTGTACTACAAGGTTCCATATCACAAAGGGAAAGCTGGGTTTGAGTTTGGGGGTAATTGCCCAAAAACGTTTAGGAATTTGGGGCCAAAAAGGGGCCAAAAAACAAGCATTTTTACAGTTTCCAGACAATAATTTGTGTTCAAGTGTATGGATCTCTCTGAAATTGTACTGCAAGGTACGATACCACAAAGGGAAGGCTGGAATTGAGTTTGGTAGTGATGAATCATAAGGGGGTTAAAAAAATTGGGGGGGGGGGATTTTTTTTTCCTTTTTTCCTTTTTTTTTCTTTAAAATTTTCCATTTTAAGTTGGTTATTTTTTATTTATATATAAAAGCAAATAATAATGATATGGTTTGATTTCATCAAAAATTGAAATATTGGGGTTCTTTGATATGCTGAATTTAACCGTGTATTTAGATTCTTAATTTTTGGTCCCGTTTCCAAATCGGTCTACATTAAGGTCCAAAGTCCAAAATAAAACTTAGTTTGATTTTAACAAAAATTGAATTCTTGGGGTTCTTTGATATGCTGAATCTAACCGTGTATGTATTTAGATTTTAGATATTGGACCATAATAGGTAAATTAAAAATTTTTAAGTACTTTGACCACATTCATTCTGTGTCAGAAACCTATGCTGTGTCAAATATTTAATCACAATCCAAATTCAGAGCTGTATCAAGCTTGAATGTTGTGTCCATACTTGCCAAAACTGTTCAGGGTTCGACCTCTGCGGTCGTATCAAGCTGCGCCCTGCGGAGCATTTTATTCAGATATGTTGCCTGCATCTTCAGTTTATGCATTTGTGGTCTGCACTAAAAGTTATTTTCAGGAAACTATACCTGTTTGTGTTTAAGTATCATGATTTTAAACAATCTTTTCTTAAATTTTCATTGAATATTCAGAAATTATAGAGAAACTAAGGTTCCAACTTCCTAAAGCAAAGTTGACCTTAGATTGATGACCTTAGCGACTGCTTTAAATTTTTTTTTCATATGAATTTCTCACTTATTATAAATATTTGGTATATGTGTTCCTTGCAACATCTACATGTCAGTCAGACCGGTTCATCTGACCTCAACCTCATTTCATGGATCAGTGATCTAGGTTTAAGTTATGTTATTAGGTCCGTTTCTCAGATACTATAAGCGGTAGGTTAACTATATGTGGCAAAAGGAATGATTGTAAGGGGTACATGGCAGACTGGCAGGTTTCATCTGACCTTGAGCTTGATTTTCATGATTCATTGATCAGTTAAGTTTTTATACGACCACAAAAATTTGCGGTCGTATATTGGTATGATGTTGGCGTCGTCGTCTGAAGACACATTGGTTTTCGCACAATAACTTTAGTTTAAGTGAATGGATCTCTATGAAATTTTACCATAAGGTTCAATACCACAAAAGGAAAGTTGGGATTGATTTTGGGGGTTATGGTACCAACAGTTAAGGAATTAGGGGCCAAAAATAAGCATTTTTGTAACTTCCAGACATAACTTGTGTGTTAGTGTATGGATCTCTCTGACATTGTACCACAAGGTTCCATACCACAAAGGGAATGCTAGGATTGATTTTGGGGGTAATTGCCTAAAATTTTTAGGAATTAGGGGCCAAAAAAGGGGCTAAAAATAAGCATTTTTCTAGTTTCCAGACAATAACTTGTGTTCAAGTATATGGATCTCTCTGAAATTGTACTGCAAGGTACCATACCACAACGGGAAGGCTGGGATTGATTTTGGGGGTAATTGCCTCAAAATTTTAGGAATTAGGGGCCAAAAAGGGGCAAAAAACAAGCCTTTTTCTAGTTTCAGGACAATAACTTGTGTGTAAGTGTATGGATCTTTATGAAACTGTACTACAAGGTTCCATATCACAAAGGGAAAGCTGGGTTTGAGTTTGGGGGTAATTGCCCAAAAACGTTTAGGAATTTGGGGCCAAAAAGGGGCCAAAAAACAAGCATTTTTACAGTTTCCAGACAATAATTTGTGTTCAAGTGTATGGATCTCTCTGAAATTGTACTGCAAGGTACGATACCACAAAGGGAAGGCTGGAATTGAGTTTGGTAATGATGAATCATAAGGGGGTTAAAAAAATTGGGGGGGGGATTTTTTTTTCCTTTTTTCCTTTTTTTTTCTTTAAAATTTTCCATTTTAAGTTGGTTATTTTTTATTTATATATAAAAGCAAATAATAATGATATGGTTTGATTTCATCAAAAATTGAAATATTGGGGTTCTTTGATATGCTGAATTTAACCGTGTATTTAGATTCTTAATTTTTGGTCCCGTTTTCAAATCGGTCTACATTAAGGTCCAAAGGGTCCAAAATTAAACTTAGTTTGATTTTAACAAAAATTGAATTCTTGGGGTTCTTTGATATGCTGAATCTAACCGTGTATGTATTTAGATTTTAGATATTGGACCATAATAGGTAAATTAAAAATTTTTAAGTACTTTGACCACATTCATTCTGTGTCAGAAACCTATGCTGTGTCAAATATTTAATCACAATCCAAATTCAGAGCTGTATCAAGCTTGAATGTTGTGTCCATACTAGCCCCAACTGTTCAGGGTTCGACCTCTGCGGTCATATAAAGCTGCGCCCAGCGGAGCATTTTATTGTGTTTTGGTCTGTTTTTCAAGTACTATAAGCATTAGGTCTACTATATTTGGTATATGGAATGACTGTAAGGTGTACATGTCAGTCTATCCGGTATTGTGTCTGACCTTGACCTCATTTTCATGGTTCATTGGTCAATAGAAAGTTTTGTGTTTTGATCTCTTTTTCAAAGACTGATAGCAAAAGGTCAGCTATATTAGTTGTATGGAACAATTGTAAGGTGTACATAGATATAAGAAGATGTGGTATGAGTGCCAATGAGACAACTCTCCATCCAAGTCACAATTTATAAAAGTAAACCATTATAGGTCAAAGTATGGTCTTCAACACGGAGCCTTGGCTCACACCGCACAGCAAGCTATAAAGGGCCCCAAAAATTACTAGTGTAAAACCATTCAAATGGGAAAACCAACGGTCTAATCTAAATAAAAAACGAGAAACGAGAAACACTTATGAACCACATCAACAAACGACAACCACTGAACATCAGATTCCTGACTTAGGACAGGTTTAAACGTTTTAATGGTACCAAACCTTCACCCTTATCTGAAACAATAGTGTAACATCACAACATAGAAAGACACACTATAAAATATCAATGTCTGTTTGGCAGGTATCATCTGATCTTGACCTCATTTTTTCATGGGTCATTGGTCAATGGTAAGTTTTTGTTTTTTGGTCTGTCTTTCAAGTACCATAAGCAATAGGTCAACTTTATTTAGTCTATGGAATAATTGTTATGTGTACATGTCTGTCTTACAGGATTTATCTAACCTTGACCTCATTGTCATGGATCTTTAAAAGTATTAAGTTTATGTGATACTTGTAGTAAAACCTTTATCTTTAAGACTTTCAACATGAAATCAATGCTCTGTAAAGCAGCAAGACATTTTAGCGTGTGCACTCTTGTTTCATTTCTAGATGATTTATCTAATATCAAAATCTGGTCAACATGATGTAGAGTTGACAAATGTCTCTTTTTCCCCAATAGAAAGTGAGGTCAAAAATATCTTCCACACATTTAGTTAGAGTGGGTAAATAAGATATAAAGAGACGCAGCAGTCATAAAAGTCAGCTTTTTGTACAAGCTTTTATTTCTACCAAGGATTTGTATAGTAAATACTATACAAATGATTGATTGATTGATTGATTATTATTTGCTTAACATCCACTGACAATTATTTCTTACATTTTCAGGACAAGAAGCTAATAAGGTAGATTTTGTAAGGTTGGACACCAGGGATGGGCACTTTCTTGGACTGCCACAGGAAAACAATGGCATACTGCTTAGGGGCAGAAACTTTACCATCTTTGATGAGTTATTGCTAGGGTTCTTTTATATGCATAGGGGATAGCACTCTCTCAAGATGGCATGGCTGCATCATATACATCCTCCATAGCCAAATGGACACCCCCTTTGGCAAGGGTTTAACTGCCTATCAGAAGAAGGCCAACGTGACCATATCTCTATACCACAGTCACCTTGGGGTTACCCTTAATTTACATTTTGGACCTTATTGCATTGTGTAAATTGTGTTCTTAGCAACATATACCATCCCTTTTTTAATAACTCTGACCCGAAATGACAAAGAGTGTCCTTCTGAAAAATGTGCGTTTATGTTCAAAGACAATGCAACATGAGAACACAAAGTATCAAGGACAAACCAACATGAAGGAACATTTCAGAGGAGAAACGTTATACAAATAAACGAGTACATGAGATTACCCTTACTGAAAAAATCATGCAGCCTCCTGCAAATAGTTGCTGCAAGTCTGCAGCGAATTTGCTGCAGACTTGCAGCGGACACAGAGTCTGTATTTGCGGCATGTTTTCTGCAAATACGCTGCTGCAAACAATTTACCATGCAAATGAGTGTTTGCTGCAGACCTGCTGCAAACATTTATATGCAAATGAGTGTTTGCTGCAGACCTGCAGCAAACATTTTTATGCAAATTAATCCTTCACCTGCGTGTTTGCTGCTGACCTGTGGCAAGAATTTATATTCAAATTAATCTTTTTCCTGCGTGTTTGCTGCAAACTTGCAGGCACTACATACATATACAATTATAAACCAATGCCATGTTGTGTACACATCACATTTTCTATATTACACAGCAGATTCTGAAAAAGTTAAGTTACATACATATACATACCATTATTCAAATACTTTATCATTTGCAAGACTATCAAAGCATAAGTTAATACCTTTTAAAAACTAATTTAAAGTTTTTTGTTCAAGTACGTGCTCAAATGAATTGCATTCATGAATAGTCTAAAATATAAAAAAAAAAATATTTATTTGAAATTTATTTTGTGCACATATACAGCTGGTTAAAATAATATTGTCACAGAATTCAACTTGACTTACAACATAATATTTAATAAGTTATAATCTCCAAACATACTATCGAGTACTGCATATTTGTTACATGTTTGAAAATGTTTTTCAAACCTTCATGCAGGTATTTGTGGAGGGGATAAATTTCATAAGTCCTATGAAGAATTTGTACTTACAAATAATGTCTTTGAAAACTAACCTTATAGTTTCCAACCTAAAATGCATCCTAGAACACTAATATATAACATGACTCAAACACCATCAACATTTTCAAATTTCAAATCTTTATCTTCAGGAAGTGACCAATAGGCATGCTCAGTCATTTTATGTAATTCTTGCAAACATAATTGTTTCTGCAAACTTGCCGCAAGCCTGCAGCAAAAAGATGCAATGTTTGCAGGAGGTTCGCATCTAGCTGCAAACATCTGCAAACATTGGTATCAAGTTAGTTTAAAATATGTGTCCGATGACTCTTGCTGGTCAACCAACATGGCCGACATTGCTAAAAATAGAACATGGGGGTAAAATGCCAGTTTTGTCTATTACCTTGTCTGTTACCTTGAAAATCGCTATCAACAGAGAAATTCTTACCGGTCGGCAGAAATGTTCAGAATGTTGAGAAATACCTACTGTTCATTTACATCAAAACTCTCAGACGACATCATGTTGGAGATATTGCCCTTAAAGGATGAATTTTACCAATCTTTTATCTTTGTTTTTACCCAGTATTATCTTGAAAATTGTAATAGATAGCGAGAAACAGCAAAATTGATCAGCAAGACAAGATGAGTCAACATGACTGAAATTGTCAGTCGATTCATAAATGGCAATTCATTTTTACCAAATGTGTGTGTCTTTGTATATTATCTTGAAAACTATAATAGATTGATAGACACTTTTTTCTTAAGTCGAAAAAATGAGCAGTTAGACTAGACTTATAGATGATATAGCCCTTAAATTACGATTTTACCCTATTTTGTGTTTTGGGCGAAAACTAGAGTAGAGAGAAACTGTAAACAGAAAAAAAATATCAGCAATACAAGATAAACAAAAAAGAGATTTTTATCATGAACTATATTCTAGTGTAAAATGTTTTAGAGTGTCCATTGTTGAAGATGAATATAGACCTAGGCGAGACAGGCTATTTAGAGCTTCTAGTTTTAGTTATTTTGACATTGACCTTAGACATAGGGACCTCAATGACAATATGGATCTTACTTTCATTAAATGGGATGATATGTCCCAGTAAAGTTGCAACCCATTTGTAGTATTTTTATTTAGCGTTGTGGAAATCTTTTTTGCACAAGTTCTATTTATTTTTAGTAACTACGACTTTGACCTTGGACAAAGTTACATCAAAGTCAATAGGGATCATCTTCTCATAATATGTAATAATATTTATAAGTAAGGTTGTAATCCTGTCAATGTATATTTGTTCCACATATAACAGAAGTTCTCCTGGAAACTTAGTTATAAAAATTAAGCAATACCATAATACCTGTTCCTTTTGGAACAAATATTCTATATCCTTTATATTGTAATCTTTGTTTCAGTGGAAATAATATTACAGAATATTTCTTCCACTTGGAACTTATATTATGGAGGAACTTCTATTTCATGACAATCCCATTTGTTGTATTTGATTTATATTATGGAGGAACTTCTATTTCATGACGATCCTATTTGTTGTATTTGATTTAGTATCTTAAAACCACATTTTGCACAAATTTCGGTCTATTTTCAGTAACTATGACCCTCACCCTGACCTTTGAAACCATATCCAAGTAAGCTTGTAATCCGTTATGAAGTATTTGAGTTAGCATATCCGGAAACGAAACTGACCTGGCGAACTGACGGATTGATTGACTGACCAATGGACGGACGGACATCAGTGGAGCACCAGTGTAGCATTGTAAGCATGTGCTTACAAATAATTTTATAAAAAAAAAATTTCATTAAGAATTTTACTATAATCGTTCACCTTCTCGGGTGGTGACGCCCAGATCCCCTGCCAATAATTTATTTTCCAGTATGCCACTTGACAGGGTAAAAACTGTTCACACTATGCATTCAACTTCTGGTATGATGAACGAAGATGTGGGATATAGCCCTCAATCAGACAGCATCCAAACAATACTAAAACATAAACGTATATATAGGTCACCATATGCATATGGTTTTCAATAAACAATGGCTATGCACATAATGTTTATGTCACGCTTAATCACCCTAAGTCTTGCTAAGCTGTGTATAAATTTGACAGATACTGTTAAAATCTGTCATCAAAACCAGATTGTTTAAACGACAAAAACATTTACTAAAGACAACCAATGATAGTGTCCATAATCGTTCCTGGCTTGGGAACGTCAATAATGTGGTGGTGTTAAAACTCTATTTTCTATATCTAAACCACCCCAATTATACTCTGAGTCTCGATAAACTGTGCAGATATACCAAGACATAGACCTACAAAGTTCAGGTATTGAAACCTTGGTGTATTGTAATGTTTTGTATATATGTTATTGTCGGTTGTAACAGCTTCTTAAGCTAATGTTTATTGTTGATTGTACAGTGAGAGTATTAGGGTAAATGTGTAAAAAATGTGACCGTACATTGTTTATTTCACCAAACTACGCTACTGCACACTACATATTATGCAGTCTAGTGTTTGTCTACATACATTGTTGAAGGCCGTATGGTGACTTATAGGGTTAACTTCTATATAATTTCGTCTCTGGTGGAGATTTGTCTCATTGGAAAGCATCATGTGACCACATCTCCATATTTTAAGACTTAGCTTCTATTTTGCATTCATTTTACCAGAGACATATATACATATATAGAGATTACTCTATCTATATATCACATTATACACATTTATTAACAAGTTAACTCCTAACTATCCTACTGCCTGTCGATACTTTTATTTTGGCATTGCACAAGTCATGTCTTCTTTGACTGCCCATGACATTAAAACGCTAAATCCTTGGGATGTGTTTTAGTTGATTTTAGTCTCTGATGCATGATTTTTTATTATTAATTGTTTTTTGGCTTTTAACTAGCTTCCAGTAACTGCGAGTACTCTCAAATCGTACTGTCGTGTTAATTTGACCTGTTGATACAATTTGTATTGTATTTTTGTTATTTAATGTTTACTTATTCAGTGTTATATCTAGCTCACTGTTTTTAATATAGACCGTTGGTTTTCCTGTTTGAATAGTTTTACACTAGTCATTTTTTGGGCCCTTTATAGCTTGCTGTTCGGTGTGAGCCAAGGCTCCGTGTTGAAGGCCGTACTTTGACCTATAATGGTTTACTTACAAAGTGTGACTTGGATGGAGAGTTGTCTCATTGGCACTCATACCACATCTTCTTATATCCATATATGTCTCGGATTTTAACCTGGGATCAATATGAATTAATTCCCGATTTTACAAAGTATCATCAGAGACATATAATACAATTATCATATAATATATCTCTGGTCTCTGGTATCATGTTACATGAGTGGGTGATCTGTAGTATATGTTAAAATCAAGAGAAAATTAAATTATGATTTAATTTACATAAAGAGATAATATTTCTTTGTGGATATGCTACTAGATTAATAGTGGGCTAACATGTTTAAATTGTTACCGTCGGTTAACACCAACGTATTTTAAATTTGCCGCCAGGAAACTTGATCACAAATGAGTTTGCGTGAACGACATGTTGGATATTATGGGATATACGAGTGTTGTGGCGAAGTGAAATTTGAATATCTTTTTAATGCAAAATCAGTTTTCAAATACACAAACAGACAAATGACGGACTATAGCATAGGTATACATAAGTTACAAAAAAATATTTCTGAAAATCTTAACATGGTTTGCATGAATTTAACTGCAGAATTACCAGAATTGGTGTTTACACATTGTCAACCTATGGTACACATTGTCATCACGGTGTATGTAAGCGTACTTTCATTCCGCCGTGTATTTATTCCGGGTTACTGTTTTTCACTAGAGAATATTGGATGTAAATAGTGTGAAAGCGTCGATCTTGATATTGTTGTTTTGTTTATATTAGACCGGTTTATTGTTTACATAAATAAATGGGTTAAAATTAAAATAAATTTCAAGGAACCAGTTTAATTAATCTGAGTCAATCTAGCAAATAATATTGATGATGACGAGGAGGATATTTTTATAACTCAAAATACTTTATCAAAGATCATGACATTGAACTTGATATAAACCAAATTTTAAGAGCAGATTTGTTCTTACATAAAGCTTCAATTATAGAAGCATCCTTTGATATTGACAAAGAAGATATGATTTTATATCCAAGTCGACCGAAGAGCAAATACACAGAAAAACTTCGGCAATCCAATAAATATAAATATTACAATTAGTGACAATTTAAAAGCATATGATTTTATAGATTTGCATAGAAAAATTATTTAAATCTTATTCTTTAATAAGCATTATTGTGTTATCGTGTGTTCAAAATGAGTACTAATCACTTCATCAATGTATGGATCTAAAGCACTAGTGTAATTAATCCCGGTATAAAATAACTAGTGCAATCATTCTGGTACAAAATCACTAGTGTAATCATTCCTGGTTAAAAAACACTAGTGTTTACATTCCTTGGATGAAAACTCTCCACTTTTTATATAAATCAGCTATGTAAGTTTCAAATACATTAAAAACTATTAAGCCACATTTTATATATATTTCCCCTTCAAAAACCCTGTTTAGAACCTTATAATGACTGGTGGATGTTTTACACTGGACCCGGATAGAAAAACCTAGTGAATTTTTGTTGGTGGATACAAATCACTGGGGATTTTCTTCCTCCGGATAAAGTACACTGGCGGAATCAAACCACTGTTACATGTACACATAGTCATTTTCATATACACATTGTAATAGATCTCCACACACTGAAATTGACAACTACAATATTTGTTTTCGTATACCTTCATTGTATAATGTCTGTAATTCCGAAGTTTTATTCAAGATAAACAAAAACACGGAACATGACGAAGTTGACCTAAAATTTCCCGCCATAGTAAAGTTTTTTTAGAGAGTGCATGGAAGTGCCTTAAAGGTGAATGGCGGGTTTTAAACAAAGTCAGACATTTTTATTAAAGAATATATGTAGCAAATCCACATGCTCAAATTACATCACTGACGCATGTCATGAAATGACCATTTAAACAAATTTAAAGAACAACAAAAAGACAAAATAATTGTCTTTTTTTATGTCAGCAGTGTTGTTAGCAAACCTGGGACTAAAAAATAAATAATATTTACAGTCCCAGGCAACACTAACCATCAGGTTTCTATCATAATGAATATACAGACGCTTATAGTTATTTGTTCATGGCTGTTGGGGGAAAATATGTCCTTGTAACAAAATTCCTTGTTGATAAGAGATAAAAAGGGCATTAGCTACAAATTGGACAAAACATGAAAATATGATTGTTCGATTTTGTTTCAAACATTTATAAAAGCAGAATATAGAAATTATAGTCAAAATAAGCTAAAAAACCCATTGTTGATGTTGGCTTCCAACTCATTTGAATACCATATTCATGCAACCTTTATAACCTTTAGTCAAGATGTTGTGTATGTGTTCTGACAGCTAGTGGTCATGCTTAGTATGTTCAGAGACATGTATACTATGTATTTATATGTCTCTGGTATGTTCATTCATTAAAAAGAAAAGAATGTCAACATTTAAGTGAAACAAGGGAGACACCAGGAAAAACCATTTGTTGACTCATCGCTGCACACAAAATTGTTCTTATACAGGTAAAACGATGATTTACATACATTTTTAACCCATAACATGAAATCAAACAGACCTAGAAAAATCATTATAGGATTGCATGTGCTTGTGTGTCTATTTATATTTCTATTCATGATTATATTGGAGTTATACGACTGTCAGTTGTCAGAGGTTATCATCTATAATTGATAATTAGATGGTATCTAGTCTAAAATATGCATGAAATTAAAGCAAGTCCATGCATTGTTAATTGCTTCTTTTGAACTTTTTGTAATTTCGATGTAGGTTTTAATCACAGGAGCTTGGGTACAAGATTTGGATCATTTTGTTCTTTGTTTGCATTGAATATACAACTTAATATTTTATACATGTACCACAAACTGAACACTACTAAGCTTGTCTTACCTTGTTTTGGATGAAGTTATTCATTTTGAAAATATCCCTTATTTTACTATCCGTACTTTAACACAAGTATGTATTTTATTGTGCAAAAAAGTAAATTAAGAATTTTTAGGGAAAATATTACAATTTTACAAAGTGCATTTGAGTATGTATAAAAGCCTACAACTTTTGGTGAGCAACTTTTCTGGATATATGATATAAAAATAAGAAGATGTGGTATAATTGCCAATGAGACAACTCTCCACAAGAGACCAAATCACACAGAAATTAACAACTATAGGTTACCGTACGGCCTTCAACAATAAGTATAACCTATATCGCATAGTCGGCTATAATTTATTTTCTGGAAAGGATTTTTAATGAGATTGATTGCTGGGAAAATGGTGGTTATCAGAGACATCAATTTTAGCAACATATTCTTTTTCTGGAAATGTTGCTAAATAGTTACTAATATTCCCCTAATCAAATGTGCTTTTTAATATTTTTGCTAGATTAAAAAGTATTAGATTTTTGCACTGCAAATTTATACCACATTGGGCATTTATACCCCAAACAGGTTTTTATAAACCATTTTGGTGACTGATCCAGCGACTTGTTAAAACATCCTGTCAATTTTAGAAAGTTTTTAAGGATACACAGTTATTTTTTTTCTTCTAGTATATATCAAAATAAATAAATAAAAAGAAAGGAATCCACAAAAATGCCACACAAATCAATGTGATTATTGAGATGAAATGCAATTTCTACTTTTAAAACTTCAGCTCAGTACAAATCTATTAGGTTGTAGATTATACATTTGTACTCCAGGACTACGTGAAAGACCTCCTTACTGTCTTATTTAACATGCAGTTACTATAAAACACAAATTGCATGAATTTTCTTTGTGAACATGGTGAATAATTTAATTATGTCTGTATAAAACATGATTACCACACAAGAAAAAAGTTTAAGCTCATGATTTTATGTACCACAAGTATCATGAATCAAGAAAATCAATAAACCTGAATTATTATGAATGAATTTAAAGAAAAAGTACATTGTTTGTAAATAGTTGTTTGGCCAGGGTGAGTTCTTAAGTTGCTTTAAGGGGACATCTGATATAAATTATTTGGTATGCAGTTGTATCAGCATTAGCACATCTCATTTCTACAGATTTTATTTGGCTATGCCCCCTCAATTATGGTTTATTGATAAAAGGTTTGCATAGTTTAGATTTAGTTTGTGATAAGGCCAGTTTAAGGAGCCCTTTAAGCACATTGACTTTGAAAGTTTTTCATAGTTTTCATGTGAAAGTAGTGTGATTTTAATTTCACCATTAGCATTGTTCTTTGAAGTTACATGTAATTCATACATAATGCTTTATTTGTAACATACCATAAACTTTTCCATAGGTTATTAAACCAATGGAAACAATGTCAATCTTTTCACTAAAGCTACCAGACTCTTTGATTTTTTACCATGGTGTTTTTCTAACAGATATGGAATGTATAATGAATGTTATGCAGGCTTTTTTCAAATGTATAATGAATGTGATGTAGGCTTTTTCAAATCCCATGAAAATATTGGTCAGAACACTAAATAATCTGGCAAACATGTTTAGTAGCTAAGATTTCAGGATTCTTAAAATAGGACAATGAAGAGGACTGAAGCCTGATATTGGGTCAAAATTTGGAAAATAGTAGTTTTTAAAGAATGAAGCAAAAAATGAAAAATAAACTGAATTACCAAAATATTTGCCCCTTGCTTCAACTTGCCAAAGACAATTTAGATGTCTCATTAACCTGAAAAACTGGGTCTGCCCCTGAAAATTTTCTGAGACAAAATTTACAATGTAAAGAAATCTGCTATGAAATAATTATATCTTATTAAATTATTAATGATTGTTGATATTAAAACCTAGTAATAGTAACCATTGAAGATTTTTTTCACAAACCTGAGACTGTATTTTGTTCTAATTTCAGGTGTATCACCTGAATTAGGTATTGAAGAGAATCAAGATGGAACTGTTGAGCAAGATTCTGATAACGAGGTATCATATCCAGCTTGTAAAGTTCATCTTGGCCATGGGTGTTCCCTGTTTATCCTTTTAAATCTCCACCCAAATATAGGAAAACGTTCAAAAAATAATGTTTTACCTAGGTGTTAAAGGGGGTTCATGTGGTTGCAAACTTGCAATTAACATACAGTACAAAATTTTGCTTGTTTTGTTTCCTTTAAGAATTTTGGTGAAAAGCATAGTCCACCTCAGAAATGAAGCTTTTATCAGTTCAAACTGAACATTTCCTTATCATTCATATTTGATGAACAAGTATATATATATATAAGGGGTTAAGAAACTGCGTACTGTTGTACTTTGTGTTAGGAGTACCTCATTTTCAACTTGATTTTGCATTGTTTATGAATATGTTTATTGCTTTATTGATATGCAAAGAAAATATTAAACTGGTTATTTCTTCCAAACCTGTGTTTGTTCAGTTTAAACCTTTATACATGAAACAGTTTAAAACATGTATTGGACCATTTACTGATCTCTGATTATTGTAAAACAGATGCTTTTATTTGCACTGGATCTTCTCAGCATTTGCTTCTTTTTCCAAAGAGATCCATGTAGCAACCAGGTAATTGGTTCCACATCCCCTAAATATTATCAACAGCAATATACAGGGAGGATATATGGGGTGGGGGGGGGGGGGGAGGATCTGCTTACCCTTCCAGAGCACCTGGTGGGGTTTGTGTTGTTCAGTTATTAGTTTTCTATGTTTTGTTTTGTATACTTTTATTTTAAGTTTTTTGCCATGCTGCTGTCAGTTTGTTTTCGACTTATGAGTTTGAATGTCCCTTTGGTATCTTTCGTCTCTCTTTTACCAGTTAGTCATGCAATCTGTTGACCTTCACACAGCCTTCTGTGAAAGTCTTTTAAGCCTAAAAAAATGTTTTCCCTTCATGAAAAATGAGGAACAATCAAAACATTCTAACTTATAACATGTATAATGTCTTAAATAATAATGTATAACTAATGTTACTGACATTTATAAAATTTGACAACTGAATTTTCACTCTTTGTCTTGCATCTGACTGAAAGTATGAAAGCTGAACTTTTATTAAGAATTTATTGGTTATAGTTATTATGATCAAGTACCAGAGGGTGTACTGGTAAAAATAATGATTCTTTCCTTTTGACTTCTATTGTTTCCAAACAAGGTTAACTTACTGAAAGATGCCATAAATTTCAAAGGTTACAAACTGTTTAACAAAAATGTATTGCCCTATTTTTAAATGAGCTTGACTAAATAGTTGCATCTCCAGTCCACTAATAATTTGATGAGTGCTAAATTGGTGTCATTTCATTTCTTGACAAAATATTTGGAAACTTTAGGAATATCTGTACCAAACTTGATTAAAAAGGCCTATATGATATGTTTTGTACTCTACTTTGTTATGTTTTTCACTGAAAACCTACCATTGAGATGTATTTTCCGGAATTTGCCGAGTAATGCCGGAATGCCATGCGATAATGTTACAGAAAGGCATTCAATAATAGCCGGAAGCAGTTGATAAATTTTTCATATCAGCCCACTAAGCACCATTTCGAAAAATATGGAATTCACGTAAATTTAATGCTATTATCATACTGTAAAAATTATAAGTTATTTACTTACCGATAAGTATATGATAAATAATAAATACTGCCTTGTTTTATAGTCTTCAAGGATTAAAATGATAATTCAAACATTCACTTTTGAATTGCAGTAATTCCAGATATTGAATTCAAATTGGAAAGGGCTTAGTCAATATATTTATAGAAAAACAGAAGTAAGGGAGAAGGTACATTTTAGGGTCTACTTTGCTTGTAAATTCACATATAAATAAACATTGTATGATGTCTTTTATACCAAACACATTTGTGAATACAGTGCTACCAAAAAGGGGGGGGGGGGGGTGTCAACAAGACAATGTTAGGACATGAGTGGGGCTGGTAATAAGTCTGTAGCTCATATTTTTATTACTGAATAGACAGTGACAATGAATATACCAGGTATACTGTAGATTCATTATTATTTGTGGGATACAAATTTTCATGGATATTTTTATGGATACTAGAACACACCCACGACATCGCGGGGTCGTGACTGAATCAAAGTACCTACGCCTTATTTTTAGCTTGGATTTTAAGTTTTCGTATTGTCATCTAATAATTTTATGCTGATTATAAGGTGCACAGTTTTCTCTGCTTTCAAAATTGTTTATTTGAACCCGTCGACCCAGAACTTGTTAATTATTGGTAGTATTAACTATGTAGAAAACAAAAGGGCCTGGAATGGTGTAAATTTTAATCAACATTGCACCATTGTCCAGATTAGTTATAAATAAAGTTGAATTCTTTGATTCGTTGTGTTAAAGTCATGATGGCTAACAAATTGGAAAGTGCTGACGCCTTATTTTAAGCCTGGATTTTTAGTATTCGTATTGTCATCTGATAAAGTCATGCTCATTATACGGTGCATAGTTTCCCCTGCTTTCAAATTCTTTCTGTTTGAACCCGTCCTGTTAATTTTTTTCTACAACCGGAAACTACTAAGTACATATGGCAATGATTGAATTTAGTATTTAGTAGTGTCAATCCCTATACATTTTTTGTATAATGACAAAGGGGTGTATCATTATGAACCGTGTATATAGCAAACCCCAACTACATCGTCTGGTGGTGTACCTGATAGAGGCGAAACGTACAGATTAGGTAACAGGTGACATATACAATTGGTATCGGTATCGGATTCAGTCCGGAACTTGTTAATTATTGGTAATATTAATTATGTAGAAAACAAAAGATCCTGTAATGGTGTATTTTTTAATCAATACCATTGTCCTATATTAGTTATATAGAAGGTTGAATTCTTTGAATCGTCATTTTTACGTCAGCTAACAAATTGGACCTCGTTATTTTAGTATTATAGATAGTTAACCCATTTCTCTGACGTCAGTCTATTGTTCTTACAGTAGATTATTTTTCAAGAATCCACTGACCACTTCGTTAACTTATTTTATAACTTTAAACTTTTAACTTACGATTTGTTATCCTCTCAAAAAACGAGTGGCATATGAAGGATTCGAACTCGCGCATATTTTCTTCATAATCAGTAGAGTCTTCAGTCTATGCATGATACCACTATACCACGAGTGCTGACATAAATCATTATTTAAATAACACTCTTAAAGTGCACAACTGTCAATACATGTCAATAAACTGTATGTCTGTCTCAGAGATAATTCGCTTTTGTTATCTAATAAAATATGTATACTATGTCTGGATTTGTTCATGTTCTTTCAAATTTATTTAAATTGTTTTATTTTGGGCGTTATTTTTTAAGGAAGATTATGTTCTACATTTGAACGTTCTTGCTTATAGTTATAATAGCAGTATGGAAATATCTTAAAAAAGAGTTTATCCACGATGTCAGGTTTGAACATTGGTCGATTTTCAACATCGTTATAATGAACCGATGGGTCTTGATACGATTGTGGCTATTACACACTAGTTCTAAACACTAGAGAATCATTGAATTGTATATATTAGTGCAATTCCTTGATAAAATAAACATTTATATGCCCATTACACTTGTCACTTTTAACGTACAAGGACTTTTCCTTTTCATCATAGCAAATACTTACTTATGGTTTTAGTCTTATAATGATATCGTACTATCAATAATTTGTTCTTTGTTTGATTATAAATGGTCCAAATATACATCACGTCAACATTGAACGGACTCTAATTTGAATAAAGTGTGATATATAAGCTACGACCGTTAAACTACTTCTTTGATTATAAAACCAGAAACAAAATCATCGCCTTTAAATGAAAATGAAGTATATAATACCTCTAAGATTAAAACAATATTTTTGTCGAGAAAAAAATTACAATGAAAAAATTTCAATTCGGGTACAAGGTTTGAACTTGGCACTGTTAATGTCACAGTTATGTTTTTCGGTACCAACGACTGGACGATCACGGCTATGAACAGCTTGAATGTAAAAGTAAAAAATTGACATACTTATACATTGTACATCCGTAGCAAGAGCAATTCTGCTGGAGATTCAGAATGCGTACCACAGATAATACTAGTTTATTGACTGGTTTACGATGGATGCCAAATGTAATAACGTTAAAAATAATCTAAACTTAATGAAAGGGAAACAGTTTAAACAAAATTCATGTATAATTGTTCAAAAAAGACCTTAAGCAATTATTTTATTTATTTCGGAAAGCATCATTAACTGGAGCATCATGAAATTGTAGTATTATGGCAACTATGCTAAATATATGTATTTGACTTAGTACGGTTAAATTGTAGACAATCCTTAATCACTGTAAACAATGGTAAATTGCTAAATACTATATTATGTAAATTTCAAAGGTTTCTAAATTTTGGTAATTACAATTTTTTAACTATTCAAAAAAAGATAAATAAATTCTGTATATTTATATATGTCTTTTTGAATAAATCATAAATACCAAAATCTATATAATTTAAATACTTTGTAATGATAAAGCATTAAATGAAATATAAATATACAAGTATGAAATCTGGTTATAAAAAGGGGAGCTAACAACCCATTTAAGTTATATTAAACTTATGTTAGATCAAATATAGACGTGAACCGTGTGGATATAATCATTTCCAGCTATTATAGAATAAAAAAGATAAAATACGAAATTATTTTTATGAAATTCCGTTGATTCATTGTCAAAACATAAAACAGAGAGTCGTTTTACTAGAAATGGGTTAAGCTAGAGAATTGATAAGAAGAAGTGGATTCGGAAACGATAATCAACTTGCGACTAAAGTCGCTCGTTGATTATCGTTTACGAATCCACTACTTCTTATCAATTCTCTACTACGTAAACCACTAAATTAAGTGTTCAACAAGTACACATTTCTAAAGACTTTTATACAGACCATGGGGACTAACTGTGCACCACTTATTGCGGACCTGTTTGTGTATTGTTATGAGTTACAATTTATGACT